ACGCGGACAACACGACGACAAAAACCACCACAACAACAACAGAAAAGAAAGCTACCTTGTTGCGCCAGCCACATGAAGTCAGCCACCGACAGCGACAGGTTATCGATTGTGGGCAAACAATTATCTCAATGGAATCATATTACGCATCCATCAAGAAGATTCTTATATGATGTGACCGATGCTTTCCTTCTTAAACTATCCCGGGAATCAGATGAATAAGTAAACAGATAGATAGTCTTACGCTCTACTTTACTTTCTACAAAACACACAAACATTGAAGACATACAACTCACTTGAAGACATACACGCTAAAAAAATATCAACTAAGACTAACACGTCACACTTTAGTGTTTGTATTACATTAAAAACACGTGTCATTGAATGGACGGACGCATGACAGATCACACACATAATGAATTCATAAGTTTTTAAGTCTAGATAAATACACGAATTATTAAACTATACAATACTTATAAATCAAACTTGAAATTAACTAAACTGCTTACTAAAAATCACTTTTGTAAAAATCCATTTATTGCAAATTTGAGGTTCATATAAAATAAGGTGGCCGCTATTGGCCACAACGGCTCCTTACAGGATTAATGAATAACTAACTTGCTGAATTAAAATTAATCCCTCAAGACTAAAGCAATTAAAATTCGAATTTATAAAAAAACAAAATGTCGTAGACTTCGTGTTTTTTAAAATTTCTACCACTTAATTTGTAGCTTCTGATTACGTTGTGGTAGCCGCGGTTAAAGAAAAAGCTTCTGAATGAAGAACAAACTTTTGAATTAAAAAAAAAACACTTTGCATGAAAATATTCATTGGCCCCAGTTTACAATTACACAATTGATCGTTTACTGTGAAATAAAGACATGGATATTTGAATGATGAAGGTGTGAAACTGTATAAAACTGAAACATTGTAAAAATATTAAAACCGCTTAAAACGTAGAGACTACAAAATGATATACATTAATAAATGGATAAAATCAAATGAGAAAAGATGTACCAATAAAGTAAAATGATGACAACTGGAAAAGTGGAAAAGGCACGCCGACGTTTCTGAAACACGAGCTACTGAAAAATACAAAAAAACAACTACACAAACAGGACTGAACTGAACTATCTGGTACTGAGTAGAAGTATTTTGAAGGTTTCTACGGATATATCTCTTGTAAATATCTCTTCGAGTAATATGTAGTTTTGACACATAAAGCAATACCATATACAATAAGACATGGGCTTCAAAGATTAATTAAATAAATAATAAAATAAATAAATTTTGTTATCAAAAGACGAGTAAATGGGAAAACAGAATGGAATAATCATAATATCAAAATAAGGTAGAAAGAAACTTAACGAACAAAATAAACCTGATTGAATTAACTTTAAAAACAAATAAGCATATACAAAGATATGTGCGTATAAATATGCGTACGTGTATAAATACGTGTGTACGTGTGTTTGTGTACAAATGTGTACATGCGAAACTCATTATTTGGAAAGATTGGAACGTTAGTTACGATGATAGCATAAGATCGCTTGAAATGAAGGCACAAACACGAAACAGATAGATGAAATTCGAATGAAGGAATGAATGAAAAAACGGAAAGATAGCAACTAATAATAATTCAGTTAATTCATAGCAATAATAAATAGTGTTAAATAATGATCCTCACTGTCCAGACAGACTGCTCAGAAACTTGCACATGTTTGTTGTAACGATCTAACATAGACAGTAATCTAATAGGAGAACATGTACTTAAGATACAAAATGTAGATGAATTAAGGATGTCGTTAAACACAACTAATAATATATTCATTGGATATCAACGCAGAGGAAAAAATTTTCAAAAAATGTTAAAAAAGTGCATAAATACGTATACAAACATCTTACACCAAATCAAACAAGATGGCATAAAATAATTACGGTAAAGGATAAAATAACTTAAAGCCAAAATACAAAGAAGATAATGAAAATATGAATAAGACTGTATCATGATATGATAGTCATAAGACGGTATCATGATATGACACAGTTACTCAAATTACTAAAAATAATGACAGTAAACTCAATGTGTCTGGAACTTATTTAGCCAGTTAGTAATAAAACACACGCATACACGACACACATACAGACGAATTCAATTAAATGCTCGCGTATAAAAAGGTACAAAATTATTTAAGTATGTGTGTGTGTATGTGTGTGTGTGTGTCTGTCTATGTGTGTGTATGCGTGTGTGTGCATAAAAATAACTCATGTGATGGATGATATACAAACAAGCAGTTACAAAAATACCAACATATACACAAAACACAAACAGTAAATACACGTACATCTGTATTGAAATGCACAAAAGATGATATACGCATCTATAAAATAACAAATTGATACAAATGCCAGAAATGATTATTAAATAGAAATAGAAAATAACTAGAATAATAACAACAACAGGAAAAACGACGAGAAAGTCGCCACACTGACGGCATGAAAAATAAAATAACGATAGAAGTAACGGGCATCTGATGACGACCGGCGATATGACGATGACAAACATGACAGTAATAAAAATATTAATAACACTAATAACAATAATAACGATGATGATGGCGATGATAATAACATCAATAATAATAATAATAACAACAATGATATTTATACGAAAATGAAAAGATAAAATATAATATCAGTTATCTCATAAGAAGCTTAATAATAAAAAAACAAAAATAAGATTGAAGACGACGCCCTGGAGAGCTCCTAATGTTCAACGTAGCAAAGAATTACGAGGTAGACAGTAAGAGTAGTAGAACCACCTAGAAGAACCACAATAGTGTATGTATGTAGGTAGTAGGTACTATGTGATGTGTGTGTATGTGTGTTGTGTGTGTGTGAGTGAGAGAGAGAGAGAGAGAAAGAGAGAAAGAGAGAGAGAGAGAAAGAGAGAGAGAAAGAGTAGAGAGTAGAGTAGAATAGATGCAACTTGATGATCGAATGATGACGTACGATGACGATTAAAATAATAATGATGATGATATTGATTAAAATAACAATGAAAGAGAGAATAAAATAATGACGATTATGATGACAATAGCGATAATGATCAAGACGACAGAGTACTTTGGTGTCCTATTCTTAAGTTGTTAAAATGTTTATGAGTGCACACGCACAGATGTACGTAGGGAATTGTATACAGCTTTTTAAAAGAATGCTTAAAAGGAATGAAGATGATGATGCTGCTTGAAACTGAGTAGAGATGCTAATCACAACATCACGTTGATGTTGTGATGTGACTTGAAATTAAATAAAACTTACGAGAATTTCTAACCAAATATTAGCCAAATAAATTATAAAAACCAATATATCCAGATTCAAATAAGACTACGTAGATGATAGTGATAATGATAAAAATGATGTTGACGATGATGACGAAGATAGAATCGATGATAGTGGTGTGGTGGTTGTGGTAATATTCGTGATGGTGACGATGAAGACGACGATGAGACTGAAAATAACTCTGGGGGGCGATAATGATGAACGTTGCGAGAAATCATATAAATGGAGAATTTCATTTTTTAAACAAAATAATGAGCATGGAAAATCACCATCATGCTGATGATAAAGATATTGCTACAACCATCCCCATCATTTCTGTGAGACGATGATCAGAAAAGAAAAAATAAAAACTCAAAATGAGTATTGGATAAGAATTGATGCAAAACTTCTGTGACATGACATGATGATAAGGTCCTTGAACTTATGAGTGCAAGATACAAAATGATGATAATAATCTACATCATGTCATAGAAATTAAAAAGAAACATAATATAATCCGCAACATACAGACAAACTACATATATTTATATTCATTTATTAAAACTCAAAAAAATCTTGCCATGTTTTTTCTCATAATAATAATAATAATAATAGCATAAAAACTTAAAATCATGTGAAAATCTTTATTAAGGCAAATATCCTCTATTTAAATTAAATTCAAATCAAATTTAACTTCAATATTTACACATACTTTTCGTGGACACATGGCGGAATTGATAAATTTTACAATTATAACAATATTTTGTCGAACAATCAATGAAAAAAATATCATATGTTTAACATAAAAAAAGTAAAATTACAAAATAATTTCAAGTTTTCACGAAGATTAAAACATTTTTCAATCAATTATAAAACAAATAAAAATAATTTTTGATTTAAAAGTAGAAATTCTGCTTGGTCGGTCACTGTACATCGGTCGGTCATCAGACAAAAGATGAAAAACCAGGCAATGGTGCTCTCGATCTGGCAACATTGTTGACAACAATGTTCGGACTCGTGAGACTGTTGTAATTGTTGTAATTATCGTCAACATTGTCGACGTTGTTGGCATTATACATGGTATTTGTATAGGAGATGTTGTTGCTACTCTTGTTGTCGTTGTTGCTGTAAGTCTTATTTTTACTGTAAGAAGATCTGTTGCCAGTAAGTTGACTGTGTGAATTGTTGTGATGGTTGTAGCTGCTGTTGTTGTAGTTGTTGCTGTTGTTGTAGTTGTTGCTGTTGTTGATGTAGTTGCTGTTGTTGTTTGATCGATTCCACGACCTCTGGACGTCATCATTGACGTAGTGGTTAATAAATATTGGAGTGGAATCATCTTGTGGTGATCTGTTGTGGTTGTTGTTGTTGTGACTACTGTTGATGTTGTTGTTGTGACTACTGTTGTTGTTGTTGTTGTTAATGTTGTTGATATTGTGTAACCTGCTTGATATTCTATTTCTGTTCTCTGTAGTCGGCTAAAAGAAATAAAAATTTTTTTTATCATGGTAGTACAACAAAGTCCAATGAATCTTGAATTTAAAAAGTTATTTGGAGCAAATATTAATCAAAACAGATCTCATATTAACGATTGATAAATTAAAAATTGTTGAGATGACTGAAAAACGATTGTGTAAAAATATTGAGACGACTCGAATATGACTCATCTTTCAAACACTGAATCACATGTCAGATATGTTTTGACATATTTTTTAAAAACATATAATATAGACCATCTTCATACCATAATAATTATATTATATTCACATCACCATTACAACCAAATTATTATAACATCATTATCAATCACATCACAGCCATAATAATAACAACCACATTATCGTCGTCATCGTCATCATCATCATCGTCGTCACCATTATCATCATCACCACCACCACTTCCTCCTCTCCTGACCAAGTGGTATCTGGCAGCAGCAGTAGCAGCAGCAGTAGCAGCAGTGGCACTGCTATCGGACTCCTTCTCAGAAAGGCTGCTACTACTAATTGATTTGTGGACATCATCGTCCTCATCTTCCTCATCAAATCTCATGGGGGTGTTGTTGTTAATGTTACTGCTGTTTCGTGCATTGTTACTGCTGCCACTTCTGAGGTTTTTGTGCTGTTTTAAACGCTGAACTGATCTAAGTACAACGTAGAAAAAGTATCATCAGTAATTAAATTGACTTGCATAACAGAACTAAAAAATTTACATTTTGAATTGAATCAATTGCTTTAAATTTTTACAAAAATTTAAATTTTACAACTAAGCTAGGTTTCAACCTTTAAACTTTTCCACCCAAATATAATAAAAAAAAGGCAAGCACAAACTTGTAAATAACAGGTTTGATGAAAGAAGCAGGGGACAGTGACTGTAGTTGTTGTTGTTGTTGTTGGAACCTGCTGGCAAACAACGAAGAATTGGAAATGATTGGAAGTTGTTGTGGTCCAGGTTGTTGTTGCTGCTGCTGACTGCCAAACATATTGTCATCAGCATCGTCATCATCTTCCTCCCCATAGTTTTGATTGAAAATATTTTGTGTGGAAGTGTTGTTGTAGTTGTACAAACTCGGGGTGAAGTCGTTGTTGTTGCTGTTGTTGTTTCTAGTTAGTGGAGTGGATTTATGTTTGTCGTAAAGTTTAGATGGGTTAAGTTCGAACGTGGTGAATGGCTCGTCGTGCGGCTCCGAACTGTGGCTGGTCAGCTTCACTGGCGTCTGATTCGACAGCGCTGTCAAGTGGAAGAAAAAAATTTAATTGGGAAACGATGGGAGTAGTATTTTAATGATTGCTGATTAACACAAAGTATAAACAACCCACACAACACTTCGACACAAAATATCTTCAAATATCGTTTATACTTTGTAACAATCAGCAAGCGTTGGCGCCATTAAAATAATATTCATAAAATTTTATCTTAAGTTCGCGAAAACAAAAACAAGATAGCAAAAACAAAGTTGAAGAAGATTTGTGCCAACAATTACAGCAGCTACACGATCTAAAAAACTCTTCAAAATGTTTAATGCGCATTCATAGAGGAACTTTCATCAACTTGAAAAAAATAATCAAAAAGGTACAAGTGAGAAATTTGTTCACCATTTTTCTTAAACTTTCTGTTCTTTCCAGTGAGGATGAGAATAGAGGTGATGATGAGGACGATGATGAGTCCCACCAAAGCCATGATGAGGAGGAACCACCACTGCTGGTAGAACGGTCGGTCCAATTGTTTCATCACTTCTGTTGTTGATGTTGTTGGTGTTGATGCTGATGTTGTTGTTATTGTTGTTGTTGAAGGTAGTGGTGTCGTATTAATCATCAATCAATTAAATCTCTAACGAGTTGTTAAACGGTTTATAAAAAGCCCACTAAAAAGCAATTCACGAAAGCGTCAAAAAGTTCACTTCTATTCAAATCCATTTCATTGCGAACTGATCATTTTAGACCAGTTGGTGCAATCCAGTCTGATCTAATACAACAAATCAGAAATTCACTCAAACTAGTAGTTGACTTTTCACAGAAACAAAAGTTGAGTGAACATGTGTGAAAAAAAAAACAAAATCATCATGGCAATAACATTTTTGCCAAAATAAATATGCAGATGTGAATTAAATAAAAAATTAGATCATGAAACTGGAAGTATCTGTAAATTTTAAAAAAAGATGAAAAACTTCATTAAAATTACTGCGATAGCACTAACCAGCCAGTTGAATGAAATTAGATGGTTCACTCAGTTCCCCCATACCCCACCTGTTGTAATGAAACACTCTCACCATCCTATCACCATCAGCATCACTGCTCGGTGAGGAGGAAGAGGACGACGATGACGACAATGACATCACATTGATTTTCATGGAACTTTCCAAGCCGTATGATTCTCCAGATGTCTGCCATGCACTGTCTACAAATTCGTTGAGTTGACGTCTTAATATTTGAGCATCGTTGGAAGATTTGATGATGTGATGTTGTCGGTTGTAAATGATCATTAATAAAGTGCACTCAAAGCCAAGGATGAATGGATATAGCCTTATTTCCACTACGCACTAACTCAACCTGGCTTCTTTATAACAAATCTGATCCAACTAATCTACTGTCATAATGAAAACATCTTTACTGCTGATCACAGAAACTTCACAAGCTTTTCATCTTCGTAACAAATATTTATCTATATCACAAAACCATTTTTTCCAACTTTCTGTCTCGACAAAACATCAATATAAAATTTATAACACTTGCCGAAACCACCGCCTGACCTGATTTGACCTTGCTCTGCAGCACAGTGCCCAATATCGGGTCACGACCCGCCACCCCATTCAGCCACGTCACTTCCAACTGACTGCCACTCAGAGTGCAGGATGGCTTGGAAGGAGCTCCTGGACAGTCTGCAGAGGTTATGTGCATGAAATTCATTGGTGGCAGTTGTGCCCAAGCAAATTCATTAACAACTAACTTTTTAATTAACGAAGTGAAGGAAAAATGGTTGAATACATAATAAACTTTTAAAAAATTTTATTTAACTGGTTACTGATATTCACAACAATTCAAACAAAAGCTAAATCCGAATTTCGTAAATTATTAAATTTTAATTCAAAAATTTTCTTTACACACACTGCTTCCATGCAAAGTATATAAAACAATAGAGCAAAAAACGAATCTTAAATAAACGAGAGCATAAGAAACGAACCATAGCAAGGCAACATGCTGATTCTCTTCAGCACCTCCTCACCCCAGCCAACCCTGGTTCTGCCCTTCATGATCACAACATAATTCATGGCCTCTATGAGCTGGTTGATGACGTACTTGCTCGTGTTTGATGGCAACTGCAGCTGAGCGCTCTTCTTGACGCCTGAACCAGTTGTGTTGGAAATTAACGAAATTGAAAAATAAACTTTCCATAATTCGATCATACTTATTATTATTTTGTTTAGAAACAAAGCGATCAACTCATCTAATAGACGCTTTATTAGCTTCTTTCATGCAGAAGTAATCAGTAATAATAACGAAAATTTGAATGAGTCACAATTCAACTCGGAATAAAACTTGTCCTAATATAGAAAAACATGTGACTCCGCATTGAAAAATTATAAATTCTCACCTTTAACATCGGCATCTTGGTAATAGGATAGTTCGTACCCTAGCAAATCTCCGTTCGGTTTGGAGGGAGGCGACCAAGAGACGTTCAGTGAAGATGGTGAAGCAACCACCAACAAAAGAGAGGATATATTGGATGGCACTGCGCGTGCATATATTATACATTTGATGTATATGGGTGTATGGATGCATGTGTGTATGGTGACCATATTATTGGCACATGTATCTCACTGTGAAACAATAAGTACGATAATATGAATCAATGCAAAGGTGCAATATAAATTCTCTAACAATAATAATAATATAATAATATCAATCAAGCTACCATCTTCATCAGTGACAAAGGCCAGTGGGTGGTCGGCTGAGGCTCCATCGCCAGCGTCATTGAATGATCGTACGTCAATTGTGTATCTTGTGTATGCTTCCAACTTCGTTAGAGACATCACGTACGGATGTGACGTTGATGAGGATGACGAAGACGAAGATGACGGTTGTGGTGATAATGACGAGAGAAACAAAGTTATCGAAACATTCTGCATATTTTTTGCCGAATATATGACCTGAAATAAAGTTTAATTTATTAAATTAGGTTATAAGTGCTAAAAAACTTTTATGACTTGTTGAAAATGTCCTAATAAAATTTAAAATAAAAGCAATGAAGCTGTAAGCATAAATTGACTAAATATAATCATTTCATTAACATTATACAGATTATTTATTGATTACAATTTATAATATATTGCATATTAAAACCTTGAAGCCAAGAGTGTTTTCAAGATTGTAAAGCTCATCAGCATATAATCTATACTCCCATGATATTAAAACGGAATTTGATGTGATGTTAGAAGCCTTCATGTTTTTAACTCCTGTCGTTGGAGCTTTGTATGTTTTATTAAATTAATGAAAATGTATTAACAAATAGTTTTAATGTTAGTATCAAAAAAAGATGAAATGAACAAGTGAACAATCTACAAATGAACAAGAACGCAGCAAATTTCCTCAGCCTAGTTTTCTTTATAAATATATGTATATATGCTCCAGTGTTAACTGACAATGCATCTGACTTTCAATAAATGCGGGCGAGCAAAAATTTGAAGAATTCGAACGTAGGTCCAGCTGACATCAGAGAGAGCTTAAAATTTAACTCGCACAGTGCAACAACACATTTTCCACCGGCAGGTTTTTAACCAGCGGGATTTTTAGTTGTGCAGTTGATAATCATTTTTACAATGTTCATTAAACATTTTCTGCTACATATCAATGATGATAAAAATAAGTAGGTATTTAAAAAATATAATTGAAATGGAATAAAATTTATTATTTTTTTCAGTACAAACGAATGAAAAACTAGTTTAAAAAAATGAAAAAAATAGTATGCAAAAAAACAAAACAAATGCTCCTTACGGATTTCAATGAATTTGGTCAACACAGGAGTGAAATCACTGGAGCCAGCAGAATTGTAACATCTCACCTTGAAATAATAGGATGTAAATTTTTTCAAATGATCAAACACAAAGCTGGTCTGATCAGGGTCATTAATCAGTTCAGTGGACCAGTTATCAGTGTCTGGAGTTTGCTGAGAACTAATGGAATGGAACACTTCGTATCCTAGCAACACGCCATTTGATGCAGGTGCTAGAGGAGGCTGATGATGAATTATACAAAATGATTACAAACGATCACATAAAAATGTCTGTCTGGTTATTTATCTTCATTTTCAATTCAAGATATTCTTAAATTAATGATTAAGTTAAAAGTTAAATCAATCTGCAAATATTTTGCAAAACCGAATTTCACTGTCAACGTTTTCAATCATATTCATATTCATATTCTCTTTTCTTTTAATTACATTTAAAAACATTTACTGTAAGTTCAATATCGAGTGAATTGAAAATAAAATGAGTATGAACAATTCTTCATCGAACAAAAGCAACCTTCCAAGACAGCAGGGCAGATGATAGTGAAAGAATTTTTATTGAAACTTCAATGGGAGGAGATGAAGGGGGTGCTTGAAGAGTCATTTTCTCATCTGACCAATCAGAGTATGGGCTTGTTCCAACATCATTGTATGCTGCAACTCGAAATTTGTATGAAGTGTACGGTCGCAAGCTAAAACGAAATGGAAATTAGTAAAATTAAATCTATATAAAATAAAATACTTTCATGCTCAATTAAAGAAAAATTGATGACATACAAATTGATAATATAATAAAATAGATAAAACTTGAAAATGCCAGCAACATATTTTACAATTCCAAACCTATCACTTTATAACTATCAGCCAACTAATCGTATTAATGAGAAAAAAAAAGTTGAATACTTGGTAACGTTGAATGAACTGGAGTCAGGAGGGACTGTTATGAAAAATGTTTCAGCATTTTGTTGCTGAGGTGGTAGCTTCTGAGCAGCAGCACCAATCTGTCGCCTGCTCCGACTCAAGCCTAATGGTCTGGATTGTATTTGGATGGAGAAGTTTCTTAAAAGTGTGAAGAGATCATCGTTAGTGTTTATCTGCCACGAGATGAGCATTGATGTGGAGGTAGTAGACTGAATCAAAGGCTGGCTTGGTGTTGTTGGCAGTACTGCAACAAGTATATTATTACCAGCACTGATACATATTACGTTATTAATTTTAAAAACTCAGAACAAGCAAAACTTTTAACATCTAAAAAACTTTAAACGTGAATTGAAACGATTATAAAATAAATTCTGCTTAGAAAAGTTAAAAAAAATTTAAACGATAAAAACAAAAATTACTTCTGATATCAGATGTGAAAACTAAAGCTTTTCTTCCAAAACCCCATCCAGCTCTGGTTCTAGCAGCAACCACAAACACATAATATGAATTAGACAATAGATTTGAAGACACAAAGTATCTTGTGTTCTTATCGATGTTATCAACACTAACATATTTGTTATTCAGATTGTTATCATTATTGTTGTAGTTATTGTAGAGAGAATAAGTGACTTTGTAGGAGATGATGACTCCGTTTGGAGGGCTTGGTTCATCCCAGTGCAGAGTGGCAGATGTATTGGAGATCTGTGTGAAGTACACGTCAGCTGGAGGACCAGGAACTAAGTGAATTTCAAGGTTGTCATTAATTTATGATTTGGAAAAGATGAGGAAATTGAAATTGAAAAAAATGTAAAAATTGAAACCAAAATAAGCAATGATTGTATTTTTTATTGTATTGAAAACATTGAAGCTAATGGGTAAAAACTGTAAAAAATTATCAAGAATAAAATATTAAATAAAATTATATTGCGAACAAAAAAGCCATCAATTCCAACAACATCAAACGTAAAGCATCAAACGAAAAACATGAAACATTAATAATTTGAAGAACAACTCATACCATCCTCAAAGGTCTTGAAAGTAACAACATCACTCCACGCTCCACAGGCAATACGAGTGAAGGCGCAGATTTGGAATGCATAACATTGGAAGTATCGTAACGATGTTAGATTAAAGAAAGTGACGTTGTGTGGTTGTATGATGACAGAAGTGTTGGCTGTTGATGACGATGATGATGCAGGTGACTGCACGTTAATCTCATCAACAGGCCAGTAGGTTAGCTGTTCAGTAAAGAATTATCATTCCATGTTCAAGTAGGTTTTTTTTACAAATTGTTAAAAAAATGAAATGACAAATACGAAAGATGGAAATAATGACAGACTTTGTATCCGAGCACAACTCCATTGCAGTGGTCAGCTGCAATTAACGACCAGCTGATGATTGCAGACGACGAGCTTGTTACAGTGAGTTCAATGTTTGGAGGACTTGTGGATGGTGCTAAAATAATTCAAATAAATTTTGATTTATATCAAAATGAAATATATCAAAAACAGCTAGACCAGTGAAGTAATTTTTTCATTCAAAATAATTTGAGTCTAAATCCTTTCAAATCAATAAAGAATAACATAACAAAAATTTGAAGCTTTCGGTCATAATTTTAGCAGTTTCTATAGATACTTCTTATAAATATGAGCAAAAAATTATTCCAGTTCAATTGAAAAAAGTACTAAATCGTCATAAATTTACACTTATCCTAGCTTGATTGAAGTTATAAATCGCAACATGAAATTAAAGATAAATGATGAACGTTGAAAAAAGAGCAAACCGAATTCGAGCGTTTGCTGGAGAGCAGACATGGCCGTCGCACATCCAAGACTATTGCATGAACTGATTGAAACATTGTACCATGTGAACTCGTGCAGTTGGACCAGACGATGGGATGATGATTGGGGCGACAATTTGATTTCATTGTTATCTCTGTTTACGTTGTTAACTCCGTCGTTACTTACCCTCCATTGAAGTTTGTACACAGCACCATCTCCATTCCAATGGTCGTATGCTGTTGGCTAGAACACAAGTGTATTTGTATTATTATGATATTTAAAATTTTAAACGTTTTAAAATTAATAAAATAGAATGTACATAATATTGTGACAAAATAATAAATGAATACCACTTATTCAAATGAACATTCACATTTATTTATATTTATACAAAACAGCTTATTAACAACAACAACAACAACACACGTTTAGACGACATTTTCCCCGAGATCGGGGGTTGCCGTTTGGCTACCTATGATGAAACCGAAATACCCCTCGACGCCATCCACATCTGTCACTCGCCTCAGTATCACGCAACCCCGCTTTCACCCTGTCCTTCTCCACCTGCTCTCTCCATCCCAATCGCGGACGACCCCTTCCTACCACTCCTTCAACCTCGAACTCCAACGCTCGCCTAATCCCGACCCTTTCATCCCTTCTCAACACATGTCCATACCACCGCAATCTCGATCTCCTTATCAATGTCACAATGTCCTCATTCAGTCCCATCATTGACATCAGCTCTGTACTACTCCTCCTATCCTTCACTTTAACCCCACACATCATCCTCACCATAGCTCTTTCAGCCCTCTGCAGTACACTATCCTCCTCTCTCTTCAACACCCAAGTTTCACCACCATATACCATCGCTGCTCTCACAAATGCTTTATATACCCTCCCTTTCATCTTCACTGACCATTTCTTTCCACACAATACCCCACCCAGTTCCCTAAATTTCATCCATCCTACACGAACTCTAGCCGTAACTGCGCTCAAACATCCTCCATCCGCGTTCAGCTTATCCCTTAAGTAAACAAAGCTTTCCACTCTTTCAATACCACCACTCAACCCCGTCCTTGCGTCCGTCCTATTAATCACACCATGAACACATTTCTTACATTTGAACGTGCCTTCCACCTTTTTCAGTGCCCCCCTCACACCACTACATTTCTTATGCACCCATTTCTGACATCCTATACACAATACCGAGTTAGCCTTCACTCTCCTGTCGCATACCCCACAGGGGTCTATTTTACTTATCACTCGCTCCCCACCTTCCCCACTCACCATTACCTTCGTCTTACCAATATTAACTTTTAACCCTTTCTTTTCAATAACATTTTTCCATCTGTCAAATTTTAACTGCAATTCTTCCATGTTATCAGCCATCAAGACTAAATCATCTGCATACAAAATCTCAAATAACAACCCCTCCATTATGTTTCCACACACATCCATCACAATTGCAAACAGAAACGGTGATAACACTGATCCTTGATGCACTCCTACCTTAACACTAAAAGCGTCCGACATCCCCCTTCCACATAAAACAGCTTATTAACAAACAAAAATAAAACGAAAAAAATAAAATCTATAGCTTGATGGTTATAAACTTAAATTTATAACCATCAAGCACAAAACAAAATTAATGAAATTAATGTAAATGATAAAACAATTAAATATTCGAATTTCAGCATTATCATTGGGTTGCAAATGACAAAAGGCTGGATGCTGTATGAATGTACAATAAAGATTTAAAATTAAAATTAGCCACCAAATACTAACTGTCCATTGAAGAAATAGAGAGGTTGAATTGATGGCTGAAAGAGTAAGTGATGGAGAGTTCGTTGGAACGGCCGGTCGAGTGAAGAACGCGGCAGACGGTCGACTGGCATTGCTCTCGCCAGCTGCATTTCTGCTCGACACTCTCATCTGGTACTTCAGGTTCGGACGCAGATTGCTTACTGGAAAAAATTAATATCACAATTATATAATAAAAGTTTTTTAAAATTAAATGCTATTCATTAATTAATAAGCTATATGATGAGCCGTACCGGTTTCCACATCGCAAGCATTCAAAGTCAGTCAGGCTCAGTCAAACAGGATTTTAATTTCATGTATTTGTCACAATGAAAGAATTGTTCTCCCTTAAAATCAACTACAGAACCATTATAATTTTTGTTGAGTTTATTTTTAATAAAATGGGATTAATTACTACAGTCAATGAACATTGATAATATCTCTAAACTAGATAACGCTGAAACAGCTGCATGATCATAAAAACTTGCCTTTGATAGATACTTGTCCACTCTGATCCTTGTGTACTTGATCCTCTTCAGCACTGACGTCAACAAAGTGCTGCCAACCAGAGTTGATGTCATCAGGCAAGTCCGCGTTGATGTTGTCGTATCTGCAATCAACAATCCACCATATAATGGATGAGTATCCGTCAAAACCAGGAATGAAAGACAACGTCACGGATCTCTCTTGTACGTCAGAGAGGGAGAGTGAAGTAGGAGGCGACGGAAAAACTGAATAGAATAGACAGCATGATAAAAGAATAATGATAGTAGGTACACAATTCAGTTGATATTTATTAATAAGCCATACATTTCTTGTAAGGTTAAAGATCTTATTTAGCAAATTACAGAACTAATTATTATAACAACTTTCTTTTCAATATTTTTCGGTGGTATCAACAACGGATACACAGTGCATGTAAATACACGTGAAAACACGCATCCGCACACGTTAAATATGGTAGACGGCAATCTTTTTGCAATCAAATCCAGGCACTTTACCATCCCACCATCAGAATATTCAGACAGACAGTCAACTTGCATTGCAAAAATTAGACAACAGAATTCACACAATAGAATAATTGAATATTGAAACACACAAGAACAAAGAGGGGTCATTTGTTACAAAGACAACGACGATCTGACCAGGTGTCAGTCCTGACAGGATGCTGACACCAGTAACTGGACCCTTGCCAGCTTTCGTCCTTGCAGCCAGTTCAAAGTGGTAGCGAGTGCTTGATCGAAGTCCATAGATTGTAACGTTTGTAGCAAGTGCCGCTATGGAGAGCTCATTTACAAGTGCATTGTAGTTTGCCACGCCTTCAGATGCTTCCGCCCAGTAACGCATGTCATAGCCTTGTCACGAGAAGAAAGTAAGCGTAATTTAATAAATGAATTATTTATGATATCTTGTGTCAAACTCATTTCGAAATGTTTAATGACAGATAGTTACAAATTAAAAATGAACTTTTATCACGGTTACTGCAAATGGAAATTAATTTATCAGTCAGCCAGAATTGAAAAAGAAAATGCAGTTTCACAGATATAAAAATAATTACCTACCTAGGAGTATACCATTTGTGAAATGAGGGGGTATCCAGGATAGAACCAGGGATGTGTCTTTCACATCCATAAACTTGACATCCTCAACAGGCCCTGGTACTGTTTACAACAATAGTAAAAGATGATGTCTAAGCATTAATTTATTGCTACTGTATAAATGTAGTCAGAACAAAACTACCAGATTAAACTAAAGTTAAACAAACAATACCGATTAGTTTAACATCCTTCACTGATTTTAGTTTAAGGAACAATTAAGGTTAATTGATTTGATAGATTGATAATGTAATAGATTTACATGGAGAAGCTAAAATTAGTATTAAACATAAATAAGTAAAGATGTGCATGGTATGTGCGTTGTGTAACTACATGAATTTGAACCAACCATCTTCAAACGTTTTGACAGTGAGATAGGGAGAAAGAGGACCATCCCCTTTAGATGTGAAACAGCATATGGAAATAAAATACAGCTGATACTTTTTCAATCCACTGGATACGTTGTACCTCTGCAGACCTAGCATGTTGTTGGAATCTGATGCAATCCTAAACACAAGAGACCTCGTCGTGTTCCTACCCTCGTTCAATGGACCCGGTGAAGCTGCTGTTAAGAAATACAGAATTAACGTTTTTAAAGTTTGAAATTTAAAAAATTAAGCTAATTGCTACATTTATAGCATAAATGATTATAAAGCAGGTACATGAGATTGGGAGTTTGAATTAAACAGCAAAAATGGAAGTGAATGTCGTGATTGATAGAATGTTTGAAAAAAAGGTTTTATATAGTTTGAAATGTAAAATTTCATTATAAACATCATCGTTAATTTATCATAAAAGAAATACTTGAATTCAGCGGAGGTTCAATGAAGAAAATTTTGTATCCCATGTTGATTCCATTGATGGACTGCGGTGGAGGAGGCATCCAGCTGACCATCACCCCCTCTGACGACAAAACATTAGCACTGAGGGTAGTTGGAGCTTCAATTGGAACCCCTTCATCAGTCTTCACCTTGACACTTTCTGAGAAGACTCCATCACCAGCAGAATTATACAAAGCAACAGAAAACTCATAATCCTGCCATGTGATGAGGTTGACAACGTCGTACGTCACCCTCTGCATGAATGGACTGATGTCCAGTTTAGTTGAGGTCAAATCAGGGTAGCCAAACAACTTATAACGCAACGTATATCCGAGAGGTAGGCCATTATAAGTGCTTGAATCAGGCGCTGACCACTGCAGAACTATTGAACTGTTTGAACGTGCACTGCCCCATAGGCCTTGAGGAGCACCGCTTGGCGCTAAAAATCAATTTGAATAAATTCCTTTGAATTATTATTAAAAACTATAAATAATCCTGCAGTGACTTACTGCAAAACTAAATCGTAAAAACAACCAAAGCGTCATAGAACTTGAAAATGAAAAAATGCATCCAACAAATAAACAAACGTTGTTGAGGGAGCGTGACAGATGAAGTAGAAACAGTTCCCTCCCCTTCACCGACAGAGTTGAATGCACTGATGCAGACGACGTACGTCTGAGACGGCACCAAGTTGGTGCTGATGACGAACGATGATGAAAACGGTGAGGTGCTGTTGCTTATCGTGATCCACATCGGACCACACTTCGTAGGGTTCACTGGTTTTCAGATTCATACAAAATAATTATTGCTCCAGTCGGCAAATGAATTCAAATTAAAAAGTAATAACTTTTGATTTAGCTTTCAGTAAATTGTAAATTGCATTACAACTCAGAGACACACCTGTGGAACTGTTGAAGATCCTGACGACGTAACCCAAGAGAGGTGTGTTACCATCATATCCGGGTGACCAACGAACAATGATAGATCGATTGGTCGACGAGTTCAACAATATATCCACAGTGGATGGAGCTTGAGGTAGTTCTGAATTCACATTTAGTTTTATATAATTTACTTGGCAAAATTTTTTTTAAAGGTTGTTGCAACAGTTCTTGCATTGTCAAATGAATTTAATATTTTAATAAAATGGGCAAAACAAATAACAGAAAATTGACCAAGTGAATGTGAGACAATCAATGAAAAGTGACCACCTCACTTACCTATCACACTCAGGAAGGCATCCAGTGAATCATTCCCAGCCAGTGAGGCAACGTCACATCTGTACATGCCTGCATTGTTGTAATCAATAAATAAAAGCAGCAAATTACATAGTCGGAAAATTTAAAAATCAATATTCCTTGCACTAAAAAATGAAATAACTGGGATAGCTGAGAGTAACAAGAGAAATGTTTATGAATAAGATAGAAGAGTTAATGATCCAACCGATGTCAGAGTTGCGAACAGAAGATATGAGTAGGGAGCCGGTGTTTGCTACGAGATGATATCTGTCGTTGTACGCGAGAACAATGTTAACGTTGTTCTTAACAAATGACCACACCGACGACACGGCAACATCTTCATCATGTGACGTCGAACATTCCAATGTGGCTCGACCACCTTTCACAACAGAATAGTTCTGGTGACGCGCTGACGTTATCACCGTTGCAACTGAAACAAGTTCATCAAAATATTCAATCATTGTTTCTTTAGCAATAAATTTCTAGAAAACTAAAGTTTTTCCGCTTTGAAGCAAAAACGTATTTTGAAGTTTTTGTGGATGAATGATATTTTCTTTGGTATAACAAGGTGAATAAGTGTAGAGTTGAACAATTTAATGTTCGTTATAATAGCAACATCATTCATATAAAATCAAAAAAACTATACTAAAACAATAAATAAACTTAAAAAGAAATCCAACATTTAACAGTGAGATAAGCGGATTTGTAATCAAATGCCAGAGCATTGGAGGCGTTGCACGTGTACAAATCCTCATCGTCTTTAGATACACGTTTGATTATCAATCCCTCAGCAGTTGTCTGAAACTTCCTAGGATCATCATTCAGTTTTGTTAGCTGGGCTGTCATTGAAAATAATAATCAATATATAACAAATATTTCATGAAATAAACTTTAGTAAACTAAAACAAAAGGCAAGATGATAGAGAAAAAACTGAAAACTAACAGCTTTTAGACCAAGTGATGGAGGGTGTTGGTGCTCCAGATGTCTCACACATCAGGGTCACATCTGTCCCAACTACTGCTGTGGTGTTTGTGGGAGCACTGATGATCTGAGGTGGAGAACCTGCAGTGGAGTGTATCGTAACAACAACAGGCTAGAATTCACATTATCCAAATTATACAACAAACTTTAACCGAACAAAAAAATTCACTCGTAAAAAATCAGTGAAATTACATAAATTGTAATTAGAATTTTGTAAATTTAGGTGAAGATCAAATTTCACTAACTGTTGACGACAATCCACGCTGCAGTGGTGACGACACCGGCGGGATTTGAAGCAAAACATTGGTAAACAGCTGAGTCACTTTGATGCATGGAATGCAATGATAAGGTTCCGTTGTACAGTATCGATATACGCCTGTGAAATGTTTTCTACATTTTTACAATACATAACTTATAATATCCAATGAAAAAATATTTAATAACAATCACAGTTTTATTATGAATGTTGTAAAACTTTATAATTGAAGGAAGAAAATTACCACATGAATTAAAAAAAGGCTAACTCATCAAGAACCAGACTCAGTGAATTCTTGTACCAAAATGTTTTACAAGCAGGAATGCATTGCAATGCACACGACACATGCACATCACTCCCTAATTCAACTTCCATCTTCCTTGAACTCTCAGCTACTGTTGGCTTGACTGAAACAAAATACGTGTAAACCAATCAAAATTTAAAAAAATTGAAATATTAACAATGACAATTATTTTATTTCCAATCTTTCATCAAATTGGTTTTCGGTATATATTTTGCAATGTAACAAAACATTACCCCCCTATAAAACATTGTACATTATACAATTATCACACCAACATTATTTTCCTGATTGTTAATGCTGACCAACAAATAAACCAAATTTCTTACAGAACACATTGAGCTGAGCAGAAGATGCAACTAATGATGATGACGACGACGACGATGATGACGATGAAGACGTTGATGACGGGATAGCCTCACACTGGTATGTACCAGCATCTTCCAATGCAGGCTTCAGGATGGTCAGCACTCTACGAAGACTTGAGAGCAAGTACTTTGAGGCATTATTTTCTAATTGCACCTTCTTTTCAGATGACATTTTATACCAGTTGATAGTTCTAACCAGCTGCCCTCTAAAACAAAACAAAAATAAAATTCGGTAATAAGAGACCAATTGACAATTCAAAAAACATTAATTGGAAATGAACCTGGAGCTAGGTAGGCACTCAAAACTAATTTGATCATCTCCAACGGTGGCATTTACATCAGAAAGTGAAATCAAAAACTTCTGATCGATTGCAGATGTAGGTGAACTTTGAACTCTCAAAACAAACAGTGAGCTAGTTGTAGTCAGAGGTGACAAAATGTTGGATGCCTCAGCTCTGAACAACCTGTTATTATCTGAAGGTTTCAAAGTCAAAATGATGAGGTCCTTCTTAAGAGAAACATGAAACTGTTGAGAGCTGCTGATCAACGTGTTGCTGTTGTTAACATCTTTCCATTCGACGATCGCTGGTGGGTAACTAGATAGGGAAGGAAGATACAAAACAACATCCTCTCCCACTGCTCCTGAGATTATGTTCATAGCAGGTCCAGGAAAATTCTCCATGTCTAAGTATTATCAGTAAGTATCAATATTTATATAAATTATAAATTATATAAATATTTTGAAAACTTTTTGATATATATGATTATGGTATTTCTGGTACTGTTATCAAGTGGTTCAGATCATATCTGTTTGACAGAAAGCAACAAGTAGTTTTCAATAATGTGTTATCTAATGAAACGGTTTTGACATCAGGAGTGCCACAAGGTTCAGTGCTTGGGCCTATTCTTTTTATCATGTATACCGCTGAAGTTTTAAAAGTAATTGGTATTTTCGGTCTTAAATATCATGCCTATGCTGATGATATTCAGATTATAGTTAGTAATAAGCCAGAATTACTGCAATCTGAAATCAACAAACTTGTAACCTGCCTAAATGACATTGATAATTGGATGTCAAACAATGGTCTTAGATTAAATCAGCAGAAGTCAAAATTTGTTCCAATAGGTACATGGCAGCAGCTGATGAAACTTAATATCGATTCAGTGAAAATAGGAGATGTTAAAATAGAATTTAGTGACAAAGCAACTAATCTGGGTTTCATTCTTGATTCTAGATTATCGATGCATGATCATATAAAGATGATAACAAATTCTTGCTCCGGACAGATTCAAGAACTCTATAAACTCCGTAAGTCATTATATAAATCTGCTATTCATACCTTGGTGCATGCATTGGTTCATTCACGATTGGACTATTGCAATGGTCTGTTTTACTGTTTGCCAGATAGGTCTATTTTTGCAATTCAATCTATTCAGAATAGAGCAGCCAAATTGATTGTTGGAGGTCTCAAATTTAACCATGTTACTCCAATTCTTAAGAGCCTTCATTGGCTTACTATAAAGAAAAAAATTAAATATAAAATATGTATTTTAATGTATTAAACTGTGCATGGCTTGTTACCAAGTTATTTGATAGATAAAATAAAAGAAAAGTCTATAATGATGAGTGGTATGAACCTTAGATCAGATGATGGCATTTTGCTGGTTGTACCTGATGTCAATCTGCAGATAGCATCAAGAGATTTTGCAGTGTCTGAACCAATGGTTTGGAACAGCTTACCGAGATCTTTTGGAACTAAAGATTTGAAACTTGATGATTTTAAAAAGAAACTTAAAACTTACTTATTTTTGCTTTGATTTTGTTGTTAAGTGAATAATTATTTGTTTGTTACTACCGCCATTGACTGTACTGTACTTTTTTCTTTTTTGACTTTGTTTAATTATAGATAGCGCTTTTGAGAACTTTTTGATTTTAATTAGCGCTTATAAATGTTTCATTAATAATTAATAATATATATATATATATATATTTATATTTATATATATAAATTTATATATATATATATATATATATATATATATATATATATATATGACATTTGACATTTTTTGTTTCATCAAATCAAAACAAAGAAATCAAAGAAATGATATCAATGAAAAGAAATGATCTGGAAATCAAAAAGAAAATATAATTTTCTAGTAATGATTACCAGTGACAATTGTAAAAACGAGAGCATATTTTAAATATTTTAGTGCATGTAAACTCACATTCATATTACAAATCTTAAAAAACCAAAAATGGAATCAAAATTATTAAGTAATCAACTCTTTTACATTTTTATCAGAATGTCGTTTGTAATTATTGAAACACAAATAAATATATAGACCAACGTAAAACATACTTATTCACACACACATATACACATACACATGAATATATATATGAATATATGCACACACACATGAATATATATATATATATATATATATATATATATATATATATATATATATATATATATCTGGATATGTATGTATAATGTATGTATACATTCCATAGCTTACAAAGATACAAAATATTAAGAGTTGAAATAGATAGCATAATTATTAACACTAACATGCCACATTAACATTAACTTTCATGCTCTGGAGTGATCCCAGCTTGTTCCTTGCAATGCACTGGTACACCCCAATATCTTTCAGACCAATGTTGGAAATTTTTAAGTACGAGTTGAGAGATGAGTTGACAATGAGATTATCATTTTTGATCCAGTCGTAAGTGGCTGGTGGGTTGCTGTCGGCCAGACATGATAATATTTTTGTGTTGCCAATCACGTCGGGCTTATCCTCTAATGGCTGTTGTGTGAAATGTAATGGAGGGGTTTCATCTGTGATGCAATTAATAATTAATTTATTATTAATTATATGCTGAAATAGTTAAATTCAATCTAAGTCAAATATATGGCAAATAAAATATTTTAATTTAAAATAGCATGTTTCACCATTGAGTTTGTTTAATGTTTTCATAAAGACAGAAATAATAACTGTAATTATTAACATTGAGTCTTAAGATGACAATAATAATGAAAAATAAAAAACTTTATAAATAAATAAATAATAAAAAACAGTGGAAAACATTGTCCAAATATTTAAATTCAAACAATTATTGAAAATTCTTAAAACCTTTTAGCTGGGAAGAGGAATGTATGACATTGCCAATGACCAAAATCAATATTAATGGAAACCATTGCTCTTGCATTTCTATGGCTATGGATGGGGCAGGCCAAGAAGGCTAAGCAGTCAGTCTTTTTTTTTTACAAGAGACTATAAGACTAGACTACAAGCTAGCTAGTCACTACTAGCTGTAACTGGTATAACAAACTAGTCAATTAAATTAATTATTAACCTGACTACTGCCTAGTAACTTAATTAAAAACAACCAAGTGGTCACTCAGCAGTATGCCAGATCAAGATCAGGCAGCATAGTGGATTAAATTAGCATCAGTCATTGTGATTTAAGAATTTAGTTAGTAAAATTTAAACACAAACCAAAGAAATTAGAAAGGTATGTAAAAAAATAAAAGTAAAGCTGTGCTGTGGTCTATTCTATAATTTATAAATAATAGAGAAGACTAGTGTAGATGTTGTAAACGGAGAAAAATGCACAAAAAATATAGACCGGTCACCTTAGATTCCGCTTGTTTTATTTTGAAATTCTCCATTTTACACCTGATATATCCTATCAATATTAATAATTCATTATTACATAAAAAAATTCAAATCAAAAGAAAACACCTGAAGCTAAACAAAATTTTTAAAGTAGATTCATATGTGAAGAAAAATATGGAAAGACTAAACTATTCAAGAGGAAAAATTTTACAGTTATTACGATATATATATATATATATATATATATTCAACATATATATATATATATATATATATATATATATATGTTGTTTCTCTAGAATTTTATTACTTTAAACTACACAGTGTGTGACGCGCACAAACATATATAAAAAAATGCGTATGTATCTTATTTGTGCGTGTGAGTGTGTGATCCACTTCCTTATATTCACCTACACAACCATCATTCATACTCACCTTCATAATGACAACCACCAAACTTTTACCTTAATTACACCATCAAAAAGTTAATAAAGAAATAAGCATGTAAGCATTTTGTTGCAGAAAGTTAAAAATTTCAACAACCAACAGTTGCTCGTGCCCCTATCTTTCTTCATATACAGTCTGGCCTCCAGTCCAGATAACGAATTTTACGGTTCCAAAAAAATTCGATATATAGAAATTTTTTATATAGAATTTGTTCGGGAAAAAATTCTATGTTGTCAAAAAGTTTTTTATATGCTATATATTTATGAAAAACAACCTTCCTGTCATTTATTTTGGTAGTAAAAAAGTAATAATTAATGATAAGAAATAAAAATTTAGAAGAGTAATTTATTTTTTGCTCCATATACAACGATGACTCCGATTCCATTGAATTTAATCAAGGTAGAATTCTCAAGAATACTAGAACAAGAAACAACAAATATGGTTCTAAGATTAAAGGAGTACAAAACACCGCTCATATCAATTCATGAAATATGTTTGCTGGTCAGATACATTTAACTTTTATAAATTTTATTCGTTATAGAGAAAAAGTTATATATGTAAAATTCCAAGAGACATAAAAAAATCGTTTATAAAGATTTTCGTTGTATAGAAGTTCGCTATGTTGATATCCGATTGTATCTCTATCCATATTTGTTCATTTGCACTGGCTACCTATAAAATATAGAACATTTTTTAAATTTGCGCGTTAATGTACAAGTCTTCATTAAAATTTTTTTCTTAGTACTATATTATATTAATATAACAACAGATATATTAATTAAACCTATACGCCCTGGTTTACACTTCTTAACTCGTTTTAAACACGCTTATGACAAATCTGTGTTTGCTTTTTCTGGCTCTTTTCTCTGGAAGTCTCGACCTCCTTTTCTAATTACTTCTCCATCCCATCTCTTGCAAAATACTGAACGGATCTCAAAACCCATATGTTTAAGAAATTCACTGAAGATCGCTGTCGAACATAGCAGAAACAGCGCTTTTGATTGATTGATCATCGTTTTTTGTGATTAATATATCATATTATACACACGTTCTTAGAATAGTTCATTACTCAATTATTACCCGGTATTAACTGCTAGCTGAAACCAACGAATCTGATTCCGAAAACCCGATTTTAAATTCGTAACAACTTTTGTTGGAAGCTACAGAATCAGGTTTGACTTTTAGTTGTAATAAGATCGGAGGTGTTCTTGTTGTTAAAGTTGGGTATTGTACTGAATAACAATGTTTTTAGTAACAATTTTCAAAAAACTTGAAAATGCCTCCATATGTGCACCAGACAGCATCTAACAGCAAAAAACAAAGACTTCAAAAGTTCAAATTTCATAAATGTTAAGTTGCTTTGCCATGTTAATCATTGCTTACAATGAGTGTGTTATTTAGGCAGCACGATGGTGTAATGGTTAAGGTGCCTGGAATGTATGGAAAATACTACAACACCATGAGTTCCAGTGACGTTTATCAACATAGCTAAAAATCAGTTTATTTCATTTGTAACACTCAGAATAGCATAATATAGGCTACTTAGCCTTAGATAACATGTTGATTACAATGTATTTTGTGGTATTTCTTTTTAAGTTTGAGATTTGATCGAGGAATTCCACCGTATCATATTGATATTTTCATGTTATTTTGGATTATTGCCATCTGCGTTATTACAAATAAGAGATACTTTTAAATTAACTTATTAATTCCCTTTAAATACCATTCCACAAACACTACGATTATATGTTTGATTAAAATTAAATAACGAATACTACGATTTAAATATGCTTGAATAAACTTAAATAGTGCCCATGGACAATGAATGTAAATAGTAACAGTAAAAAAATAGTAGTAGTTTAAGTTTGTGATAAACAACACCATCACGAATTGTCACCATCTGTAAAATATTTATATGTTAAAAGTTGAGCGCTTGCGTCTGAAAAGTTAAAACTGCAAAGCAAAAACTTTTGTGAATAATTAAATAATTTATAAGTTTTTTTCAAAAGTTTGTCTTGATCGCATCGTTGCACGTAATAAATTTTACTCAACTTTGAAGATTAGTTGAGGTTAATTTAAGTTTTGTTCTTTAACGAATCATGTCGTTTCTAAATAATTAGAAAGTTGAGTTCTCTGACTGCTCTGTTTAGCAAACAACTCTAAAACCTGGTGCTGTCAGCCTCAACTCAGCGAAAAATGTTCCCGGACTGACTGGCAGTTACTTATTTTGGTAGACTTGGTCGCATTCATTTACTTATCTGATCTTAGACTTAATCAGTCAATTTTTATTTCTTAAGACTGAGGAGATTTAAAATTAAAACCAGAATATTAAAATTACGTAGTTAGGTTTTTTTCCTTTTGGTTCCTTGCTTGAGCTTGATTCCTTGCCTTGCATGTGTTGTTGGATATTTTGGTTAATTAATGTAAGCCATCCACTGTATAACATAATATTCAGTTGTCAATAATTAAAATTCATTTAATTAACTCTACCTTTCAAATTCTAATTACCTAATTAATATCAAATCAGTGCTTTTATAATTATATTTTAGATAGAAATAGCTTCACGACATGTGTTCTTTGTGACTCCCGAAAAGAGTTAGAGAAAATTGAGTTAAAAAAAAGCCTAAAATGAAAATGATGCTTCAAGAGAAAACAAAAAGTGCAAAAATACTTGCTCTTCAAAGACGGTTTTCAAGTTGTAGCAACCTGGGTAAGCAGTCTGACATGCAGGGATCACTGCTGGCATCTGCCAGACAAGAATCTCATATGAATGGTCAGTTTCATGATATGAAACACATGGTAAATGAAAAGATTTTGTCTTCACCCATGTCATCTTCCTCAACTAAGGCACCTCATTTTGTTTCACAACTTTATCATCCTGTTGAAAAAAATGCTCACAATAATTTTGAGTCAAAACTTATTCATAGTTCTTCCGTAGAGACTCCTCCTCCTACAGCAAAGTTTCAAACAACCAGATTGAGATCAGGCAGTTGTCCTCAGGTCTGGCAGCCTTTGAAGTTCTCATTTCCCATCAGCATACAAACCAACAGCATGAATGGCAGCAGCAACAGCCTCCACAGTGCAGGAAATGAGAATAATAACATTGCACCTAATAAAAATATTAAAAGTGATTATTTTGGTTATAACCAACCACAACATCCTTCAACTAACAATTGTCCTGCTAATTCATTTAGTCACAATGCTCAAAGGTTTAACAAAGGTGTTATGGATAACAACAACAATGTTAAGTTTAGAAAACCATTGAACAACAATAATAATTCAAAACATTATCAAAACATTTCCCATGACAACAACAGCAATATTTTTCGAATGAATTCAGTTCACAATTCTCCACTGTTGAAGAAAAATGAGTTTAATAATAAGATGGCAAAGTACAACTATAACCAGCCTGTGAGACAATGTCATGAAAGTGTTTTCCATAAAAATGAAAATGTGCCAATGAATTACCAGATGAACAAACCACAATACAATATGCAGCATAACTATGCCAAAAACAACAGCACAGGCATCAACAGTGTAGCTTCATTCTACAACAAGACCAACAACTTTAACAAGGTAATCAGTGTCAATCCTGCCATATCATCCAATGATAACATCTTGGAAATGAACATTTCTTTAAACTCAAAGCAGACCCTAAACAATAACAACAACAACAACATTAAGAGTAGCAGTAGTCAGCGCAGAGAAGATGTTCATTCTTCTTATGAGGACTTGCAAGATGATGATGAATTTTCAACGAATGAAGAAAATTACAGCAGTGACTTGTCTCCCAATCCATCTCGTAAGTCAATGTATGTTAATTCCTCTTCTAACTTTACAAGCTTTCCTAATTTGAAGCGAACTGTTTCGACTGACTGCTTCAACAACAGTGCCACATCCAATGATATATTAAATACAGTCAATGTAGTATCTTCTGAACATGTTATTAGTAGTCCTGCATTGAAACATGGTAATGTTCCACTTCCTGGCGTAATTGATTTACAGAATTCAGTTAGGAATTCATTTCTTTCAAACACAGATGTTTACAACTTGCGCTCTCCCAGTGATGTTGTTAAGCATCCTTTCAATAAATCTTTATCAACATCATCTGCATCATATCAGACACCATATTCTCAATCAAGTATCAATCAGTTCAAACCAATGGATCAATCTGCTAATTCATTTTCCAAAAATAAGAACATGAACCTCACTAAAACAACCAGCGAACAATTTTTGAGCTGCTCCCAAAAAAATGAAAAAGTGATGAAGGACAATGTTTTTAATAATGCATCATGTTTGAATGGAAGTTTAAATAATCAGAAACCTTTGCTAAATGAAAATGCTTCATCAAAATTTGTTAGCAGTATATTTCTCAATTTGTCTTCAACCTCTCTCGCTAGCAAGAATCCAATTCAGGAGACCCCTCCTATTCATAACAGCCAGCATCAACAGATACCTCTCCACCAACATCAGCATCAACAGCCTCAAATACTTCACAAGCAATCATCGTCTGCATCATCATCATCTCCACTTTTATCTCCACCATCAACTTCATCATCATCACCAAAAGAGTTAAACAACAACAGACAGAGTTTATTCAGGCCTTCCACTTTAAGCTTGAACAAATCAAACACTGCCATTTTAAACATGGGAAACAATAAAGCCAATGCCAATTACATGAATGCCGATAATATTTCCAATAAGACAAACTTGGAGCAGAAGAATAATAATTTATATAAAAGAAGCAACAGTGTACACAACATCAGTAACTTTCAAATTTCTAAGACTCCGATATCTCCTGTTTGTAAAAAGAGACAGCCTACTCTTTCAGAATTGCAAGGTTTCATTGTTTTTATCTTGTCAAAATTACAATGTTTGATTATTTTCACTCACATCATATCATAATATCACAGTATCTTTTAATATCATCTGTTTAAGCAAATGATAACATTATTGAACATCTTCTAATTTTCTTGTTGGAATTTGTTTCTCTGAGGTGTTTTTATAACCTAAGTAGAGTATGAGCTACTGCTTATTACGCAATATTATGCCTGCATATTTGATGGTAAATGATTTCAACAAATTAAAAAAATCTTATTTTCCATTTATATACCATTATTTTCACTTATTTATCATATGTAAATATGTATCATGTTCCACACTACAATTGAAATCACACTGATACATTGTGCTTTTTCTTTCTTGCTATCATTTTGTAGATAAATGCACGCAGTCCAATGACTACTTGTGTTATAATAATAGTGCATTGCATAATTTTTTATGTAACTTTTCATAACAATTCAGTGCCTCTAATTCTATACAAAATTATTTATTGTGCATTTCTTTTTTCATTTGTTTCAAATATTTGTAATATCATTTAAGAGTGTATCTTTAAAAATCATTTCGTCTTGTGGAAGAAATTTATCTCACATTAACATCTCCAGAAGTATGAAAATTTTTTTTTTCATGCTTTTTTTTATTATCATTTAGCCATTCATCGTTTGAAAATATTATGCAGTTGAATAAATCAATTGTGCTAGCAGTATTTTCATAACTTTCAACAACCTACCAAAAGTGTTTCATGCCCAGAAGGAGAGTTTTCAGAAGTTGCTACACTGCATCAAAGACATGACAAAAATGAGAGACAAACTGAAAGATGAAGTCAAACAGTTGGAAACTGCTCTCGTACGACAAAGACTCGAAGCCATAACTAATAGGATCAAGGTTCGTATTTTTTATTCATTTTTGTATTTCTTTCATTGTACATCTTAATTATTAGTTGTATATTGACTTTGAATGAAATTTTAAATCCTGAGTGTTGAATATGATGGTTTCATTGGTGTCCAGTGTATTTTATTTGTGTGCCTAACCTAACAAACCTTTGAGGACATTTTCTTATTTGAAGTTTTCCTTCTTTTTTAATATTATTGGTTCTCCAAGTTATACAAGTTGTGTTCACATTCAGCCAACCAGCCTGCAAGAGTTAAAAAAGAGCAACTTCATATTGAGATCTGACATAATAAGACTCAGCCAGCATCTTCAGATGAACAACACAACTAATGCTACTAACGTTGACAATCACAAAGCCAACAATGTCAGTCATCAGTTTAACGTGTCTAATAACATAACTGTCTTAAGTCCAAGTTGGTACTTTTTTTATATATATAATTTGCAATGTTTTTGACTTTTATTAATTTTTTTCTTTGCATTTTTTAGTGTCTTTTATGTGTAAATTTTATAGTGTGTTGTGCCTTTTTAAAATTCTAACAGATTTAGTTATAAAAAAAGACAAAGAGTTGATTTTTCAGTTCCCTGTTAACAACGGCAACAGCAGCAAAAGTAGCAACGTTTTTAACATTCACGACAACAATGAAGATGTTGATGATGACGACATAGGCGATGTGGTAGCAGAAGGAGATACGTATGACAACGCATCGGGCATGTACATTAAATTGAATGATAAACAGAGATGGTCATATAATCCTTCTTATAATTGCAAAAACTGTTGAAACAGTTGAGACTCAATGATTAATAAATAATCCTATAGTAATAAATTGTTTTCTTTTGTTATCACTTGCGTCAATCAAACTCTTGTTTATCTTATTTATGTGACATCAAATCATTAAGTACATACATTGTTAGTTGATGTAATGATAACTATTTTAATGTTAACATACATTGTTAGTTGATGTAATGATAACTATTTTAATGTAATTGTTCACTGAGAATGCTGATGAGTGAATGAAAGGGATGATTATGCATTTGTTGACATGGTTGCCGTTGAATGTTTCCTTTAATATGATTCTATCCATGCAAACTTCATATCCTTGATCTCTTTATTACTTTTTTATTTTTCTGTTTAAATTTTTTCGTTTTTCTAATAAAATAGTTAGCAACTCATTAATTTTGCAGTTGTTACTTTGTTTAATTATTTTTAATAATACAGTTTTATGCATTTTTTCTTATTATGTGTCATGGCATTTATAAAAATTTCTTCCTAGTGCAACAGCCATGACAATTTAATGTAATACGCGACAGTAATGTTTTTACATTGTGCACATTTTCAACAAGTTCTTGCCGAAAATGTTCATGTTGATTGATAATCATTTCACTGCTGATGTGTCAAACTGGGAGTGTTTCAACAGGATATGAACACCTATGACATTCACACGTGTCCTCCGTATAACCTTATGTTACAGCACATTTTTGTGATTTGATTTTTTTATGTAGATATTTTCATGATATTATCATATTAAACTTTCACGAAGGCTTCTCTTGGAATAGATTTAAAATGTGGATTTATCATTTTATTATACTTTATTTTTTGTTTTGCATAACAAGGGTGCATATTTATTTATCATTTTATAACATTTATTGTTAATTTTTTGGTATTTCCTTTTTTAAAAATTGTTATTTTTTGCGACTTTGAACTACAGAACGTTTTTAAATAATTGAAATCTTATCAATTCTTTTTCTACTGTGAGATAATTTGAACATATCAATTTATTTATCTCAATTCAAACTTGCTCTACTGAGGTTTCAGCATTGCGTGTTTGCCAGTTAACTTTAAGTGTTATTAAAGTTAAACGGTTGGGTAAAGTAAGAAAATGTAATGTGATTATGATCATTGCTGTTTATGAAGTTATAGGTAGCTCCAATAATAATCTTTCACTGTTGAAGCCTTACATATCAAATTCCGTTTGGTTAATCATCGACCAGATGTATGTCACCTGTTAAAGGATGTCGTTGTTTCATGTATACCAATGCCACTATGAATATTGCTGGTCAGTGAAGTTTGCATCCAGATACGAAATTAAATACAATAAATAAGGTTAAATTGATGAATTAGTAAATAAACAATTAATATTTTTAATGATAGATTTCAAATAAATTTTGTACAAATAGCATGATATGTTAAAATTGTGATACGTCATTGCGTTTATTTCATCTGGTACTGCCTGAATATTTCACATCGTGTTTAGTATTTGTTTTAAATTATTCATTCATAGTATTCACGTCATGTTATTTGTAAGTATAAAGTTGTTTTGTTTAATTTTGCTCGGAGATTATGACTAGTTTTTCTCTTCTTTTTTAACATTTTTAAAAAATTTAAGTTCTTTATAAATTGAAATCAATCACTTTTTAATTGATCTCTTTTTCAATAGTCTTATTAGATCAGAGATTGTAAAAAAGATACGTTTAAATCATGTTGACTTGAGCCGGTTTGAAAACTTGTTTTGATGTTGTCGAGAGTGAGTTTGCCAGTTAGATCAGCGGTAGATGTTTTGATATAATAGTTTACTTGCTTAAGTAGATTCATTGTTAATAAGAAAATTTCTCATGAAGCCATTTAGCTTTTTTTTGATTATATAATTTTCAATTTATGAGAGGTCCTAAAATAAATTATGTAGAGTTTATATAAAAGAAATATATTGAACGCAATTTAAGAAAAATTTATTTTTTATTTAATTTTTTCTAAAATTTCAAATTTTGTTTTCACATTTTTCCTCAACAAATATTCTCTTTTTTCGATTTTGGCACTTTTTATAAATATTTAACGTAAGGTGTGTCAAATGTGTATGCATGTGTATGTGTGCATTGTGCGCACATACACATGCACACACCATCCACACACACACACACACATACACACACAAAGATGTTGCAATTCTAAATGAGTGCGTACGTGTATGTTCGAAAAAACAGTTGTTAATAACGTTTGAAGTATTACAACATGCCGTCCCGTGTTTCATTGTTTAAAAAATTTAAGACATCGAGGCACTTGAAATTTTGATTTAAACTTGTTACGTCATCGTGATGTCATCATGAAAAGGTAATGGAAATGAACGTGATTTGTGTTTGTGAGTTTGATGTCTGTTTCGTTTCAAGATTACATGGATTCATGAATGTTTCTATCTAGTTAGGTTTAATTTATTTTTGTTATGGATTCTTATTTTTATCTGCGAAGTGCGGTTCTGAATTATCATTTTTGTTTTACTTCGTCATTTTTATAAACATTTATTCTTCTTTAGTTCATTATATATTTAAATGTATCTATATTTATTTTTGGTTTTATTTAAATTTCATGCAGTATTATTTTCTTTATTTAATCAATATATTATCTAGTCATTTTAATTTAATGGTTTATTTATGTTATAACTAACGTCATCATATGTTCTCAGTTCTCTGTCTTATTCATATTCATTTCGTTTTCTATTAATTTTGTTATCAATATAAACATGTCATTATGTTATCGTGCTCGGTCCAGGCAATGCGTCATTGGTGACCGCTTTTTTTAACTGTTGAGTTGGTTAAGTTCATTTTTACATTTTCAGTTTACTGATTTTATAATAAAATAAATGATATAAGCACGGAAAGGTTACGTACTTCGTTGATCATTATAATAATACGTGAAATATCGCCAAGAATTTGTGGGTTATTTAAACAGTTCATTATGTCAATTATTTCAAACTTGGTCATAGCACCTCTCGGTACTCCTTTGTTTCACGGCACGTGCAGGCAAATGAGCCACTTTCGTTGAGTGATGTTTCACAAGCAAGTGGTTGTTCAGATGACACAAGCTGTTAATGTTTACAGAACTGATCAAAATAAGCCGGTAAATAAAGTACATTTAAAAAAATGTGTTTAATTACAGGTCGGTATCGAAAAACAGGGATAATGTAAAATCGTTTGCAAGGTAGCACCAGTTTTTATTTCTAAACGTGGTTCGTGTGCGTTCTTCATTAATTGTT